TAAGAAGGGTAAGACCATCTAAGATGAAGCAGATCTATTTGATTGCTGCCCCATTCAACGCCTTCCACATTCACCTCCTTCATTGCCAATACACTGTGGCAGCACTGTGTAATACTTATGAGATGCACTGCAGCAACTCACCAAAAACTCCTTCAACAATACCTTCCAAATTTGTGATCTCTATCACCCAGGAGAATAAGGTCAGTGGATGTGTAGGAACACCATTGCCTGCAAATTCCCCTCCAAGAACTTTATCCCTGTTCCATCAATGTCACTGCATCAAAAATCTTGGAACTCCCTTTCGAACAGCCCTGTGGATGTCCTAACACCCCGAGAACTGTGGAGGTTCAAGAAGGCAACTCAACGCCACCTTCTCAAGATCAGCTGGGGTTGGCCAACAAAAGCTGGCCCACCCAGTGACGCCTTTCTTTCTGTGTATTGAAATGTGCAGCAGCTTTTACATTTATTTCTGTGGTGCAGTATCTTAAAGGGAGTAGTTTATGAGTGATTTGTAGGGTATTTTCACAATTGCTTTGTAGCTGTACTTGAGAGAATGCTGCTGGTAAGTCTCTTGTGTTTTAGGAGCAGATGCCAGGAAATACATAGAGATCAATGTTCCTGATTTGTGTGTTTGATACAAATTATACAGTGCAATGGCCTGAATGTCTGTCACACGAGTTTCATACTAGACTGTTAACAGATCCGGTTTTCAATATTGGTGCAAGCTTTAGAACTGAGAGGGAGTGAACATTGGAAGTGAGAGAACTGTCATTGAGACCTGAACTCTCACCGTCATCGACACAGCAACGTCGCTGAAATCTATGAAAATACATTGCCCGAACATTGTTACCTGAGACATTGCAGCTGAACACTGCCATCTACTGCTATCCAACCACGAACTGATGTAGCAGCTCAGTGTCATAGAATGTGCTAACCTATTCAGAGGCATATGTGTAAAGCTTTAAAAAAATGTAACAATCACCCACTTTCTTCATTATCTGGCCCTTTGTTTGAGGAACCATAGAATGATGCAGTACAGAAGAAGACTTTTGGCCCATCGAGTCTGTACAGCCGAAAATATGCTATAACCGACACTAGTCCCACTGGTTGCACTAGGCCCATGACCTTGAATGTTATAACAGTCCGAGTGCTCATCCAAGTACTTTATAAAGATTTTGAGGCTTCCCTCTCAAATACCCTCCCAGGCAATGCATTCCAGACACCACTACCCTCTGGGTGTGCAAGTTTTTCCTCAAATCCCCCTAAACTCCTGTCTTTCACTTGAAAATTATGCCCCCTTGTTATTGGCCCTTTAACCAAGCTGCTTTCCATTTGCCCTATCCATGCCCCTCATAATCATATCCAACTCTATCAGGTCCCCCTTCAACCTTTTCTGCTTCAAAGAAAACAACTCAAGATTATCCAACACAAACAACAACAAAGTTGCTGGAAAAGCCCAGTAGGTCTGGCAGTATCCGTGAAGGAAAAAACAGAGTTAACGTTTCGGGCCCAGTGACCCTTCCTCAGAACTCAGAATGTCATCAGTTCTGAGGAAGGGTCATCGGACCCGAAACGTTAACTCTTTTTTTCTTCACGGATGCTGTCAGACCTGCTGGGCTTTTCCAGCAACTTTGTTTTTGTTCCTGATTTACAGCATCGGCAGTTCTTTCGGTTTTACCAAGATTAACCAAAGTCCTTTCATCCACCATTGCTGAAATGCTCCATCTCCTTTGCACCCCTTCTAGCGCTATCACATCCTTCCTATAGTGTGGTCACCAGAACTGTTCCAGGCAGAAATTTGATTCAACTGTGGAATTTCTTCTGAGTTGACTGCAAGTCTGGCATTATATTAGTTTCGATGGTATTTTTAGTTGCCAAATCTGGTTCAGCATACTGTTAGAGGCAGCTTCAACACATGATCCTACCTCCGTCCACCTTTCCCCCATAATACTGTGACTGATTGCTTGACCCACATCAATCTTCATAGTGCACTGCCTTGCTTAGCCAATAAATAAGCAGGTAACATCTTTGTCATCCAATTGGATAATGCTTGACTGTCAGTACTTATATATGAAGAAAAGTCTTCAAGAGAAGGTTTCATTTCAATTCTGCTATTGCTGCAATGATTTTTGCGCTTGTTGACATGTTGTGTCCTGGAACATAAGAAATAGGAACAGGAGGAAGCCATTCAGCCCCATTTGCCTGTTCTGTAATTCTATAGGGTCTTAGCTGATCTGCCCTGGGGCTCATCTCTGCTTTTGTGCCAGCTCCTCATAGCCCTCTTAATCATAATGCTGTCTTCTTCTTCTTTCAATACTGCGTAATCTAGCCTTAAAGTCTTTGGGGTAGAGAATTCCAGACATTCCCTACCTCTGAGGGAGGAAATTTGTTCACATCTTAGTTTTAAATGAGTGCCCCCTGACACTGTGTATGTATCTCTTAATTTAAGATTCTTTGAAGAAACATCTTCTCAACATCTACTCTGTCAAACGTATGTATTTCACTCAGATCGCCCCTCATTTTTCTAAACTCTAATAAATAAAGAACTAACCTGTTTGGCTGTTCTTGATAAGTCAACCACTTCATCCCAGGAATTAGCCTTGTAAATCTCTTTTGAACTGTCTCCAATGGCAATATATGCTTTCTTAAATACACACAGTACTCCAGGTGTGGTCTCACCAAACCCTTTACAGTTCTAACAAGATTTCACTATTTTTAAACTCCAACTCTCTAGATATAAAATTAAACTTGCCTTTTCATTTACTTCTTGCATCTGTATTCTAGTGTTTTGTGCTTCACGGATTAGAATGACAAGGGTCCCCTGCATTGCACTTTTGCTTTTGGAGTATCTCTCCATTTAATAAATAGTCTGTATTTTGATTCTTCCATTCAAAATGTATGACCTCACACTTGCTTTTATTGAACTCTATCTGTCAGGTTTTTGCCAATACACTTGACCTATTTATATCCTCTTGCAGATTCCTTCTGACCTTATCACAGCATGCCCTGTTACCTATTTATGTATCGCCAATAAATCTGGACAATTGCACTTTGCTCCCTCCTCCAAGTTATTTACATAGATATTAAATAATTGAGATCCTAGGACAGATCGTTGTGGTAGTCCATAAGTTAAGTCTTTCCAATCTGAAAACACCTCATTAATCCCAACTCTCTGCCTTCTGCGTATTAACTAGTGATCAATCAATGCTAATATAATGCCCCAATACAATGAGCTCCTGCTTTGTGCAATAACCTTTTATACGGCCTTCTGGAAATCCAAATACATTCCAACTACCGGTTTCCCTTTAACAACTCTGCTTGTTATATCCTCAAAGATCTCAAGCAAATTCATCAAACATGATTTCCCTTTCACAAAACCATTTTGACTCTGTTTGATTGTGTTCAGCTTTTCTCAATGACCTGCCATTTCTTCATTTGTTCGTTGTTCATTTTGTTTCTTTCTTGCAAGTCTCTTCTTGAAGTAGGGTCAACTTTGTGACTAGAGTCTTGCTCAACACTCGCTTTTTGCCTTTTAAACTGCATTATCCCAGTCTATGGTCAGGTATATAAAGTCTCCTATTAACTACATTATAAGGCTTGCCCCTCTCTGTAATTTTCTCACAGATTTGTTTCTCCAAGTCCATCCACGAACAGGTAGTCTGTGGATTTCACTGGGCAGTGTAGTTGCACTCTTCTTGTTCTCTAACTCTAGTCAAACCAATTCCGTCCTCCAAGCTCCAAAAAGAAATAATGAAAAAAGTGTGTAAAATTACCTCCATGAGCCACTTGTGGACTTGATCCACTCCCATGTTGGGTCACTCTGGTGGAAAGTCCATAGTTACTCCTTTCATAGTCTTCATCATCAAAATTATAGTTAGGTGCCAATGACATCACCAGGATCTGATACCATGTTGAAAAGAATGGCACTGGTTTTGTGCATTCTATGCTTGTGGTCAGTGCGGTGGACCAAGTGAAAAATCTCAGCACATCAGATTCAAGGCAAGTAAGAGATCTGAGATAACACAGTATGGAGCTGGAGGAACACAGCAGGATGGGCAGCATCAGAGGAGCAGGAAAGCTGACATTTCAGGTCAGAACCCTCCTTCAGAAATGGGGAGGGGGAAAGGGAACTGCGAAATAAATAGAGACAGGAAGGGTGTGGCTGGGGAAGATAGGTGGGATGGTGATAGGTGAGTGCAGGTAGGGAGTGGTGGGGATTGGTCAGTGGGATGGGTAGGGCGGATAGGTGAGAGAGAAGATGGACAGGTTGTGTCAGGTCAAGGAGGCGGGGATGAGAAGGAGGGTTGGACATGGTAAGAGATCTGGTCAACTTTAACAAATGATCACACGGTTTCTATGGGTAAAACTAAAATCCCTCCCGTCCGTCCCCTGACCCGGACATCTCATCTTGGATAATAATCCTTTCGGTGCCGTGCTGGTGGAGTTGGAGGGATGCAGGGGAATCCAGAGCAAAAGGTGTAATTAGAGCTAAGCTCTGAAGAAGTGATTTTAAAAATGAATTCTTGCTGGACAGGATTCTAGAGAAAAAGAATTCTCTCCCTCAAAAAGCTAAGGGTCAATTGGGATTTTCCAAACCAAGGCTAACAGGTTTTCCTTAAAAAAGGAAAGTCGAGTGAAGTTGAGTGAATGAAGTTAAGGCACAGATCATTCCATGCTCTGATTGAATGGTAGAATTTGAGGGGCTGAATGGTCAGCAACTAGACCTTTGTTTCTGAGGCCTATCATTACATGAGCAGTCACGTGATCAAAGTGCAGACTTTTGGCCCTAAATTTCTGGCAATGATAGGTCAGTGAACCTACCCATTTCGAGGGCAGACACGCAAAAAATGTACCAAATGTAAAATGCTTTATTTCCTTTCACCGTACAGACAGCAAAAACCAGTATAACAAAAATATATCAAATAATTTTCACATGCTTAACAAAATAAACATCTACATGAAAAAATACTTAACTTAATATCGTTATCAAGTGACTAATTTCTCAGAATATGTCAGGCCCAGTGGGGTCTTAATGTTGCCATGGATACCAGGGGACCAGCTGCAGATTCCCATTGTTCTCTGTGAAACTCTGTAAAAATGGAGACAGGTTATATATTAGCTATATTAGTCAGTGTGGTACAGATATGATGCAGTAACTCTGATGTACTTTGTGCATTGTTTACTGCTCTCTGCTCTGATCTTGCCCGTGACCAGTTCCATGGATATAGTTTTCCCTTCAGTAACTCATCCAGACGTTATTTCCTCCCATCCTCGAGCCTAGTGTCAGGTTTTGGAAACGGGATAGGGAATGTGATGCCTCAGCGCTTTCTCCAAGTCCCTTACCTAACATCTACACACGCTCATTTATCCTAGCAAAAGTCACTGGAAAGTCAGTAGCAGTTGGGTTTCCTTTGACCTTTGCCTGCAAGGAACTAAGGGCAAATACAAATCCCTCACGAACCTACCACCGCACCTCAAGATGAGTCAAGATTGTTTTGCGTGACCCTTGCAGCGTATTTGTTAGTGGAGTCACTGGGGAGAAACTGTTAACTCTTTTCAATGATGGGTAGCAGTTGGGAGTCAACAATCAAGGAATTTTACTGAAATTTCTCCTGATTTATTTTCATTCATGACGAACGTTTTTCTACATTGGAAATCTTTTAATTTACTTTGATAATTAGAGGATGTTAATCAAGCAACCAGACATGTCAAATTACAAAAGTTCTGACCTACCTGACAGAGTGCCACATCTTGAAAGCCTGATAGCATGTGACGTTCGGTCTTCATTAGAGAGTCATCTGGATGTGACAGACACTCTGATGGAGGGCTCTCTGACTTGTTCTGACAGTAGCCCAGGTCCTGAGGGTAGCCCTGGTAGGTGCCCTCAGTGTCGCTGCCCTCTGAGGGGCTCTCTTCGCTCAGCCTCAGCAGCTCGGTGAGGTGCGAGATGTAGCGGATGGTGAGGCGTAGGGTCTCCAGCTTGGTCAGGCTCTGGCTCACTGGCACCACCGAAGGGGGTAGGTAGGTCCTCAGGTTGTGCAGGGCTTTGGCCAGGCCCCTCATCCTCAGCTTCTCCCTCTCGCTGGCGCTTTGCCTCTCTCTGCCGGGATAACGCAAATGGATCTTCCTCACCTGCTGGCCCTCCTCCCCCTTGTCCTCTGAAGGGGCAGGGAGGCTGTTAGTTTTACACGGGTAGCTGCGGGCACTTTGGGTGGACGTGCGAGAGAGAGATCGAGGAGATAATTTACAAGAATCAACAGGAGAGGTTGGCAAGCAACTGCAAGGTGTGGAATCCATGAGGGAGTTGGGGTCTGAGTTGCTGTAGCTCCATTCTGTTGGTCCATTACTCCCTGAAGTGAGAGAATTGCAGTCTCTCAGTGCCCCATATTCTGAGGATGTCATGTAGTCTTGGTGCAGAAGCTTTGGTAGTCTCACATCCATGATGTGCCAACTAGATGAATATTCTTTCTCCTCTCCTTTCCTCCGTCGTGTGACTTTAGCGTTATGACAGAGCTGCTCACCGACGTTGGAGCTGACAGGGATGAAGCTGATGGTACAAGAGCAGCTGTTCCTGTTTGCACTTCCACTCTGAAGGGTTTTTGTGTTGACACTTTCTTTCCCCTGGCCCGGTCGAGCAGCACAAACTGGGAACGCCAAACGAACCAGGAGCAAGCCCTCCCTCGGAAAGTGGTTGTACTTTGCTTTCAATTCCAGTCGGGGAGGTGTAACCTTACAATGAAAAAAGATTGCTCTACCTGGCTATCTGACTCCTGTCGTGGATCAGCATTACAGACTGGTTGCTTAATATGCTCTGATGTACTGTGCAGCTCAAATGAAGTGCCATCTGCCACACACGGCAAGTGGGGAAGAAGCAATGCTAGAGAGAGAGAGAGAGAGAGAGCAAGAGAGAGAGAGAGATGGAGCAGCAAATTTCTTTGAATCAGAGAGTTTAGCTTAAAATGTATGACAAACTGCTGGATGCAATATCAATTTGGTACTCTGCTTCTTTTGTTGTGTGTGTTTCGATGAGAGAGGGCAATTAGCCATTGGGTTGTGTGCTGATTCAGCCAGCACGCAATGATACAGCCAGGAACACATTCACTGTGAGTCAGATGATGCACCGTCTGCTGCCACTTGGAACAGCTGCAGACCTATTTCCCCTTTTCCTATCTCTGTACCTGGGCTTTGTTCATCAATGAAACAAGCAACCCCGAGTCTTTGTCACAATCTTTAACCATTTCCTGTTCTGCATGGAGCAAAATGTTTTTGTCAACATTGACACCACCCTTTGGCTTCAGAACTCTCAGCAGAAGGAGGATTCAAATTCACTGGGATTCAGGATGTGATCATTGCTGTCACATGTGTGTCTGTTTGTGTGTGTGTGTGTTTGTCTGTCTGTCTGTTTGTGTGTGTGTGTGTGTGTCTGTCTGTTTGTATGTGTGTCTGTCTGTCTGTCTGTTGTGCGTGTGTCTGCTTTTGTGTGTGTGTGTGTCTGTGCGTGTGTGTCTGTTTTTGTGTGTGTGCCTGTGTTTTTGTGTGTGTCTGTTTTTGTGTCTGTTTGTGTGTGTGTGTGTCTGTTTTTGTGTGTGTGTCTATTTTTGTGTGTGTTATGTGTGTCTGTTTTTGTATGTGTGTGTGTGTCTGTTTGTGTGTTTGTGTGTGTGTGTGTGTGTGTGTGTGTGTGTGTGTGTGTGTGTGTCAGTTATTGAATAAGGACAGGCTGCAGTTCCACTGTAAATCTTGCCACTGTCATATTAATAGAAATGGCCTTTAGATCACTCAATGAAGATTGGTTAACTTTGTGGATTTGTTTATTATTTAACTCAGTGAAACAAAACTCACATTATTAAAATCATCTGAAGGCATCTTATAAATGGAGTAAGACCGAGGCATTATCTCAGAATAAGGGGGTCACACATTTAAGATGGAGGTGAGGAGGAATTTCTTCTCTCAAAGCGGAGTGAATTGTGGAAATCTGTACCATAAAGCATTATTGAGGTTGGGTCATTAAATAAGTTCAAGGCTAAAATAGATTTTTAATCAGTAAGGGAATCAAGGGTTATGGGAAAGGGCAGGAAAGTGAAGTTAAGGATTATCCGATCAGCCATGATGTCACTGAATGGAGGAGCAGGCTCGATGGGCTGAATGGTCCATTTCTGCTTTTACATGTTACGGTCTAATGTGCACTGAACCTTGACAACTGCAATTAGGTCAGGAAGACAAAATCTTAGGCAAAAGCATGAGTTTTGAGAAGATTTTTCTTTGTCAGGCAAGATAGCAGAAGACATCGAGAGTTTCAGAGAGCAAGGCTGTGGTCAGCTGAAAACTTTATCTCCAATAGCAGACAGAAAAGAGAAACCAATGCAAGAATACAAGTAATAAATCAGACATTATGGCAAACCAATGGATTACTGTCGGCAGACTGCATGCCAACAGCAAACTAACTGCTAGAAAAGTTGCAACTTTATATAAACATGGGTCCTTCAAGGTGAATTTTTTAAAAACAAGACACACATGCAACTCTCACAATTAAGGTTTCTGGTTCTAGATGATATGCCTCACTCTTGAAGCACATTGAAAATCAACCATCATTATTTCCAAAATTGTCACAAAAGCTAAAAGCTTTATCAAAGCACACAAAGTCCCCAATTTACCTGTCAGACCCAGGTTAACAGAAAACTTGGATCAGGTTTCGGTACTTAAAGAAAATACAATTTAGTATAAATAAATACATTCTAACCACAGGTAAACAAATATAAAAGGTTGTCATTTAACTCTAATCATTAAGCTCTAACCTCCTTCTAAAAATCCCCTCCACACAAACACAGGCAGATGCAGACCGACAAAAAAAACCTGATAATATGAATGGAGGGGGAGAAAAAACCAGGAAAGCAGCATAATGCCCCCAGTTACAGAGTTTGCTGGGATGATCCTTTACTTTGCTAAGAGTTTGTGTTCATCAACCCCATTTCTTCACATCCTTTTAATCTCTTCACAGGAGTCATAAACTATTGGTACATTAACGGCAAAACTAAAGAACTGATCATTGACTTCAGAAAGCAAGGAGGAAAACACGCCCCCCCTTCTACATCAACAGAACTGTGGTTGAGAGGGTGGGGAGCATCAAGTTCCTAGGGGAGACGATAACCGACAACCTGTCCTGGATTTTCCACGAGGATGCGATGATCGAGAAGGCGCAACAACGCCTCTTCTTACTCAGGCATCTCAGGAAATTCGGCATGTCCCTAAGGGCTCTCATTAACTTCTACATATGCACCAATAAAAGCATACCGTCCAGGTGCATAACAGCCTGATATGGCAACTGCTCTGCCCAGGACCGTAAGAAACTGCAGAAGGTGGTGTGAACAGCCCAGACCATCACGGAAGCCAATGGACTCCATTTACATGGCTCATTGCCGTGGAAATGCTGCCAGTATCATCAAAGACCCATTGCACCCCAGTAATGAACTCCTAAACCCACTTCCGTCAGGCAGACGATTCAGAAGTTTGAACACATGCATCAGCAGGTTCAGGAGCAGCTTCTTCCCAGCCATTACTAGACTGTTGAATGGTCTCTCTAACTTCAAATAATGCTGATCTTGCTAACATTGATCTTGCCTAGCACATGCCCTGTGCAACATAACCTGTATGCTGTGTAAGTATTTTTTTCACCCTATGATCTGTATATCCTTGCTTACTATGATCTGCCTGTACTGCTCGTAAACAAAGCTTTTCACTGTACTTCAGTACACGTAACAATAAATCAATCAAATAAATTTTAATTAGTTATGTGGAAATTATGTGGAAATAAGCATTATTAGTGATAAAGTTAGAGCTTGATTCTCAAAGCGCTGAGTTAAAGCTACAGTTTACAGCAACTGGGGATTAAAAACAAACTGGTTTCATCAGGCATTTAACTTTCTTAGGTATTTTACTGGGCAGAAAGACACGCCATTTTCCCCTTGGAAGGTCCAGTGGTTTCTGCCAATATTGTTTACACTCACAAGCCATTCAGCCAGCTAGCAGCCAATTGGATAGTTGTTGTCAGGGTGATGGCCTTTGTCATTCACACCTAGTCACAACTCCACAAACCAATCAGTTACTTGTTGCCGGCTGAACTTACCTTTATAGTCATACCCTGGTGCTAGCTCATCTGCAAACAGTCTCCCCCACTGCTTGAACAAAGCAGCAATCTAAACATTATAATGAGTTTCTGTTACTTGCTTTTAAAAACTGCCACAATTCCTGCTACAATTCTTGGTTTTAAAGCAATACTTTACCCATTTCCGTGCACAATCAAAAATACAGAGAAATGAAACGTGGTCTGCGTGCTGGTTAAATTCCCTTTGTGCATCAAAGGCATGTACAAAAACAAAATTGCTGGAAAAGCTCAGCAGGTCTGGCAGCATCTGTGAAGGAGAAAAAGGCATGTGTCCCTGTTACTGTGTCTCAGCGCTTTGAGATTCAAGCTCTAACTTTATCACTAATAATGCTTATTTCCACATAATCAGTAGTGTCTGTCCATACTGCTGTTTCAGCCCATTTGCCCCTGAAAGCCTGAACCTGTCTTGGCACCAAGTCCGAACTGTCCATCTGACACATATTTACTGACTTTTCTGACCGCCTAACCTTCAGTATGTTAGATTTATAATCTTCACCCACCTCTTCAACCTTTTCCTGGGCCCTAACCCACTTGTTCTCTACCATGTCCTTCAGCCTTGCACTCCCTTTCATACCCACTGCTGTTCTTACTGACCTTTCGTGGTTTCTCTTCTGTCCACTATTGGAGGCAAAGACTTCAGCTGATTGCAGCCTCGCTCTCTGGATTGGTCAGCTTGAACCTCTCAACCTCTCCTGCTTATCTCACCTCACAAAACAAAAACCTTCTCACATCCCACATCTTTCCCAAGACTTTGGTTATCTGACCTATTGTGTCTCCCTTACTCCTTGTGAGATGCCTTCGGATAATTTTTATAATGTGGGTTTTGTCGTGAGTTTTGATTGGGATGTCTGCGTTGTGACAGGTAATCAGTTTTCAGGATATGCCCAAGGAGCTGTGGCAGATATTGAGCTGGAGCTAAACACCCCGTGGCGACAACGCTGAGTGATTGTAACTTGATCCAGCATGATGTAGCTATGACTCTGTGACTGTCTGACAATCCAGGGAAGGGGGATTGGGAACGACTAGGTTCTGTTTGACACAAGTGGGATTTGTGTCACAAGAAATTCAGGCACTTCCCATGGCACCTGGATGGAAAGGCTTCACTCTACATGTGCTTCACACCTCTGACCCCACAAACCGTAAATGTGCTCCGAGAAGGTGTTGAGGTGTAAACATGGGAATCACTAACAACAGCCCCTTGGGATCATCTGGGATTTGGAAAGCTGAGTGACAATGGGAATTAAGGAACTGGAAATCCAGAGGACGAGAAATAATGTTAGCTTATATTTCTCTAATATTTCTCTTTGATACAGATTTC